TCTGATTGTTTAATGACGTCGATTGGAGAAGTTGGCCGAATCTTCCTGATGTTAAGACAGAATGCAAAGAGAAAGACAAAAGTAACGGGAAAAAAAGGACATGCAAGTTCTTAGGTCGTTTTCTTTTTATTTGGTCTGCAATGTGAGCAGCCGTTACATTGTTATCTGTTTCAACATTGGTGCAAGTTCCAGCCCTCTTCGCAACAGACACAAATTTCGGTTACATATCCGATGCCAGAGAAAGAATTTCGGTCTGACACGAGTGAAATTAAACACAAATATTGTTTGCAGTTTTCAAGATACCGTAAAACATTTGCCCGGACAAATATATTGCCGTGTGCAGTCTTTGTAGATATAAAAGATACGAAATGAAACCAGGAAAAACATTTTCTTGAACTTCCTTCATTTCAACTGAAATGTTTTTCATTCACTTTCATTCACTTTCTTTTATTTTCATATTCCTACTGCTAGTTTTGTTTGATCTTTTTAATTTCATTATTTATTTCTTTTTCTCTTTCTTTCTTTTTCTCTAATAATATTTATTCTTTTTTTCTTTCTTTTTTTTCGATTTTTCTTGCTTTCTGTCTTTCTTTCTTTTATTCAATAACATTTCTTTCGAATAATACTTTTTTCTTTTCTTTCTTTTGCTCTGATAATATTTTTCTTTTTACTTTCTTTTTCATTTTTTCTTCCTTTCTTTCCTGTTTTACTTCTTTTATTTAATAACATTTCTTTCTAAATCTCTTCTACTGCAATAGCTTCATGTCTCGCACCTCTCGCCTGTGGAACTCCCTTCCCTATTCCAGTTTCCCTGAGAGCTATAATCTCCAACTATTCAAATGTAATGTCAATCGACATCTCCAGTTGCCTTGATCTATCCACTACCCTTCTCCTCATCCTTTCTTCTATCACGTCTCCTATCTGATCTTCTGTAACCCCTTGCGTCCTAGTGGCTTCTCGCCTTGCTTGGGGTGAAACGCTTTAAAAAAAAAATTATAATTTTTCTATTTCTTTCTTTAGATTGTCTAATTAATATTTCTTTCTTTTACCCTAATAATATTTGTTTGATTTTTTTCTTTTTTCTTTCTTTCTTTCTTTCTTTCTTTCTTTCTTTTTCTTTCTTCCTTTAGATTGTCTTATTATCTCTTTCTTTTACTTTTTATAATATATCTTTTATTTTTTTGTTCTTTCTTTCTTTTTCTTTGTCTCTGTCTTTCTTTCTTTCTTTATTTATGTATTTATTTAGTTATTACTTTTACCCTAATCATATTCGTCTATGTATTTATCTTCTGCCAATAAAATTTCTTTTCTTTTACGCTAATAACCATTTTTTTCTTCTTTTTCTTCTGATATTTCTTTCATTTTTCTCTTTTATTTTAATATTTTTTCTTTCGTTCTTTCTTTAACCCTAATAATAATTCTTTCTTTTTCCTTTTCTTTTAACATTAAATTCTTTCTTTCTATTTCTTTCTTTTCTTTTTTCTTTCTTTCTTTTGTCTTAATAATATTTCTTGTTTTCTTTCTCTCTTTCACTCTAAAGATATTTTCTTTCTTTTCATTTCCTTGTTAAATAGCACAAAGAAAAATTACTTAACATTAGCCGGCGATCTTATGGGTCATAGCTTGAAATTTAGTCTGGCATGAGGCTGTAGTTGTGAGAAATTCAGTGAAAACTGACTTCACGATATATGCAAATTGATCGCGGAGACAAGCTTGCAATATGAGCGCTGTTAAGAAAACGTTAAAAACCATCGATGCACAGCTACAACATGCATCTGCACGCTTGCTTGCGTGCGTATGTATGTTGTTGTTAGATATGCATAGAAACAACTTGAAATAACTGATTATCACATGAAAAATAATTTACCGATAAATTCGAATACGCTAATAATATATTTGATGCCTGATGACCAGAGATCCATTCTCCAAACAGCACCTCCCCATCACTCGAAGAAAAGCAAAGGTTATACAATATGTATAATCGTATTTTCTAGGTTTGACCTATCCTGAAATACAAATTTTAGTGTATGCAGTATCGGGGAGGTGGGTATAGCCATTCGCCAGCGAATTCGCCGCTCGCATTAAATTCTGACCTTGTGCCATATTTGGCCGACACGCAAACAATTGATAATAAATAAAAATGATTGACACACAGATTTGTGCGTGAATGCTTTCTTGCCAACACACGGCAGCAAAATAAAAATGTACCCACCCCCATATACATACACACACTCCGCCGACAAAGTGGACGAAGCCTGGCGCTGGCCGAAGACATTGCAGTTAAGTTGTTTGCAGAGTGACCGCTACCTAGCAGAACTGTTTAACCTTTGTTTATTCCTTCGGTTTTTAGGGGCCTTTATCAGGCGAGGCCGTGTACCGACGACCGGGATCTTCAGTGCAGGAAATGGCGTTGGTCGAGGTTAACAAACCATGAGCGGTCAGTAGAAAAGAAGGCATGAGGTCAGATGTGTGTTTGAAAGGAATTACATGACAAAGTCATTCCGGAAGTTAAACACGCAAGAACACGTGCAGGAGTCGCTTGACCGGAAATTGACATTAAGAATGGGGAGGAGGGGTTTCAAATAGATACACTCCAAAAGGTGCACTCTTTTGTGAACTGGACTGACTGAATTCGATCAGCTTGTGGAATCTTCCACAACAAACCAGCCTTTCCTCTTTTTAGGAAATGCACTCTTCCTATCTGGTAAGTAACATCCTACTTTCATACAAAATATCAACGAGAAACCATTGGTCAATCACAGTACATCCAACTTGCTGATTGGTCAGTTTCAACCAATCAGATCGCTCTCATGTGCAGAGTCAATTTAGGCGCCAATTCAATTCTGATCCAGTCACGTGATACAGGCAGATATATAAAACCAACTCGTGTCATATTCATTCTCCTCTCTGTTCCTGCTCTTCCTGCCTTGAGCCTGACTTATCTACGTCACTCGTACATCTCAACACGCCGCCAAAATGTGACCCTAAAGGAACTCCGTCTCGACTGATACAGTCAGACGTTAAATGAACAATACTTAATTCAAGCAAGTATTATCTGTGAACTCTATCTAACTTGTTTACACAATTCCAAACACAATCTTCTATTACAGTTTAATATTACTTCCTCATAATATGAACTCAGGTACAACTATTTACCTAATCAAAGAGACACAACTCTGTCTAGCCTTTTCACTAAGTATTCATGCATTTATACCAAACACTAATAAATTCAATTGTTACATTTGAAACAATATGTTTGTGAATCATTATTTCTCCTTTCTTGTCTAACGTCAAGAGTTTTTGATCTTCATAAATTAAATAATATGGAAAGAGGTCTTGTTTGGAAAGTAGATCTGGGGTGGCCTTGTGCCATCTTTATCCCCAGAGAGAGAAATTAACCAAATATATTCTGCGCCCCCTACAAGCTAAGCATGTCACCGAACACCCTACTTAACCAATACATACTACGTCATCTACCAAATAATATAGACCTCTCACTATCCATTTTTTTAGCTCTTATTGTATATCCGTTATACGAATGCCTGTGTGTGCGTATATACGCGCCAGTATGTGTATGCGTATATATCAGTCAGTTAAATGTCATACGTGATACACGCATGAACGATCATGTCTCTTTCGATTCATGACTGGATAGGCAGAAGATTTTTTTTCTGCAGTAGACAGCCATTTCTTCCTGCGGTAGACTGGTAAATCCTGCCTGTTCTGCTATTCAACCCATAGCTGGGGGGGCAGAAGAGATGGATATATACCTTTTCCAAGAGAAATTTGTACGTAAATAAATATAACGAACTCGACTGGAATTCGAACTCCGATTTCTCATCCTAAGCCGATATCTATTACGCGTATATATAGAAAAGCTATAAGTAATAAAGACGAAATTTCTCGGAACTGAGCTTTGTGAGGCCGGGGGGTGAGAATGTGTGCTTTTTGACTATGAAATCCAAGTTCGAATCTCACTGTGGTCGATTTGTCAGTAAGGTAACTCTTTCGTGTTTATCTGCCCTGGGAGGCGATCTCAACGTTGCAGCAGATTTGGAAAGTGTCTTGGCTTGAAATTGGGTGGAAGAATCTATTTGGGAACCTTTGCGCTAACAAGTCATCGTGACTGAGGCTTTGAGCGTGCTGACCTTGTTCAGACTGTTGCTCACGCCAAAACTGTAACTAAAGTCTGCTCAGCATAGTTGTAGTATAACCACAGCTCTATGTTGTGTTGAACAAATTGAAATATGCATGAACCGGTCTCTGCGACAGGGATTGGCTATACGCCCGAGTAGACAGGCATTCTTGGATACGAGCGGGCATATATATATATATATATATATATATATATATATTGGATTGAGGAATCGCAGAGCCGAGTTCGAATTCCAGTCGAATCCATTACATTCACTTACGTGCTAATACCCTTGGGAAAGGTATGAATCCTCTTCCTCTCCCTCCAGCTATGGGTAAAATAGCAGGACAGATTGGGTTCTATAGCCTTGGATGGCAACTGGTCTAGGAGAAGGACAACTCTGAATTCAAAACCTGCGGAGGGTCGTTTGGGAACCTTGTGGCATTCGGTGCACCAGGTCTCTGTATTCGTCCCTTTAAAAAGTGTGGATGGTCCTGCACGAGGCCTTCACCACTATAATCAAATCTCATGTGCCGGTGTCGGGCTGTCGGTTTCCTGGAAACTGATCTGCTTGGCAGGAGAGTCGATTATATATATATGAGATAACGATACGAACGGCCATATATATATATATATATATATATATATATATATATATGAGTTAACGATACGAGCGGCCATATATACATACATACATACATATATATATATATATATATATATATATATATATATATATATATATATATATATATGAGATAACGATACGAGCGGCCATACATACATACATACATACATATATATATATATATATATATATATATATATATATATATATATGTATGAGTTAACGATACGAGCGGCC